AAAGGCCGGACATAACGATCCTAAGGATGTGAGCTATTGCGAATCCAGAATCGGTTGTTCACCAGTGTTCCCCATAGGGTCGTGGTACCCCGCATGGTCCCCCGTCTTGGTCCCCATTATGGTCGTGGTCCCCCGTTTGATCCACCATATGGTCGTGATCTCCCGTATGGTCCTCCGTCGTGGCCCCCATATATGGGTCATGGTCCTCCGTGTTGGCCCCCGTATTGGTCCATGATATGATTATCGCTCCCCGTATGGTTCCCCGTATGGTCGTGGTCCCCCGCATGGTCCCCTGGGTGGTTCCCCGTCTTGGTCCTCCATATGGTCGTTATCCCCTGAATGGTTCCCCGTCTTGGCTCCCCGCAGGGCGTATTATTTCAGACGTATGGTAAACTAGTTGTCGCACTCTAGTCGTAGCAGTTGTACATCGCAGTATCTCGTTATTGTAGTAGTAGTCCCACAAACGCAGTCGTAGCAGAGTAGTCGTACATCGGTGGTAGTGATCGTCGCTCTTGTCTTGTAGTGCAGTGTCTAGTCGTGCAGCTCTGTAGCCGTGGCACTGCAGTCGTACAGTCGTAGTAGTATCGCTGTCTTGTTGTGATCCCCTGAGCCCCCGTATGGCCTCCCATTAAGTCCCTCATCTGTTTGTAGTCTACCGCATGATACGTTCCCCCGCCCGTGTTGTCGCCCTCTTAGTGGGAGTAGTTCAGTCCCAATACAGCAGTAATAGCATCGTCACAGTACAGTCGGAGTTGCACAGTGAATAGTGTTGCAGCCGTAGCATCGTGGTAGTCGTACAGTAGTACTGGTATAGATGGTGCTCTCGGCGGTATTAATTTTCGTGTTTGGGATAGTTGTGTTGGGTATTCTGCCGCCAAGGATGTAATCGTTTAGTCTCCTGTTCGCGCGCATGTAGCGGCCCTCACAAGGTTCCCGGGGGAAAAGTACCCGCCACGGGATGCTAGAACTCCGACGCGCGATTTGAGCATCCGCCAAGCGGTTGCCATAATGGCCAACCATGCTTCCAGGAAGCTCCCGCAGGGGCTGCCCAGGCCGCCGGGTAGTTTCTGACATGCTTCATAGACGCCTAAAGACAGCCGCAACACTAATTTGCCAAGGGAGCGCCCAAGAGGCCATCAGGACGAAGTCATTGTTCAATGCTTGGGCTTGCTCGTTTTTTCGATCCCCAGGGGGAGGGGGGAGGCCTCAAAATGTTTTCATGTCGCGCAATGTAGCTCCAACTGGAGCCCCCAAAGGGGCTCCAACGGGGCTCGGAAGATCGCCAAGAGCGCCCAGAGAGTGCCACAGAGCGGCCCGAAAGCGGTGATCGCTGTTTGACAGGCCCCAAGAGGCCCCCCGAACAGCCTCAGCGGCCCAAGGATAACCCCAAGGTGGTCCAAGGATCGAGCCGCCGCAGAGTGCGGCTAACAACGTTACCAACACGTGGGACGAGAATGCGGTGACATTAACCTGGTCGGCCTTCGCCGAGAATGCGGTGACATTAATCCGTCCGGCCATTCGAGTACCGTTCTTTGTTGCGGAACAAACAGTCAGCCGTTCTGAGGATTCCAGGAGAGAACAACAACAAAAGGATAGCCCCAAGGTGGTCCAAGAAGTCGGCCCCCCCAAAAGGCACGACAAAGCCCCCAAGAGCCCAACCACTTCGAAGGCTAGGACTGTCAGGGTCAAGGCAAAGCCAGCCTGTCAGCCCTCGTTCGCAAATCAAGGGCAGAGATCATTCACAGAAGTTGAGCCATATCTTAAGCACCTGCAACATACAGCAACCATGCACATCAAGAGCCAGCACAGCATACATCAGCCACATTAAGAAACACATACCATGACCAGACAACCAACCAAAACGTCAACAACACATTTGGAATGCTACACACGGGCCTAATAACATGGCCCACCATGTACAGACACCAATAACCAACATTCGCATAAGCATCACGAGCAGGCAGCAGCACAACACTCCACCAACAACCCTACGCACAATACGCCAATGACAAATCGGATGGGCTTCGCATTTTGCCGTCGACCCCTCTCTCCGATTGCTTGCATGGCCACGCTTGGTTGGTAGGGTGGCTGGCTGGCAGCTCGGTTGATGGGCTTGTTGACGAACCTCATATTAGCAATTGATTTGGCCAGCTTGCTCGCTGGTTGCTTGCGCGCGTCTGTGTAGCCTAATGGGTGATGGTAGCCTCGGGAGCGCGTTCCCATTCTGAGCTGCGCGGGGTCGAGGCTTCGGGAGCGCGCGCACCTAGCTAGTTAGCAGGATTCGTCGCCTCGATCCCCGAGCCGAGTTCTCAGGACACGGCCGGGGGGGGGGGGCGGCGGAAAGCCCCCCCCGAACCCATCTCCCAGTCAAGCAAATGACCGTGTTTCTGCGCTGGAGAGTGGCGGCGATTTGGGGCGTCCTCCGTGGGGTGGATTCGCGGCCCCGGGAGCGCCGACGCGTAGTCATTCGCACGGGGTTGAGGCGTCGCAGACGCAACCTCGCCGTAATGTACGAAAGCAATGTTTTGGCCTCGGGAGTGCGAACTTGGCATGTTTTAATGTGCGTTGTGGCCAGGGGAGCGCGAACACGTCGTAACTTACCAGGGGGGGTGTCTTCGGGAACGCCAAGACGTACTAATTCACTCGGTGGTTTCAAGGCCGCAATTTGGTTGCAATTAACAAGGGATTGTGGCCTCGGGGGCGCGAATCTGGTGGAGTTTCGAACGGTTGTGGCCTGGGGGACGCTACCCCCCCAGGACAGCCCCAAGGCTGCCCAACATAGTCCAAGGCATTCCCCCCAAAGCCACTACTATTCAATTATGTGGTGAAGTACCCAATTCATTTGCAACCAGTGACTATAGCCATGCTTCCGTTCTGCACGAGTGGTGATGCGACCAGGATCGCAATCCGTCTGTGACAGCTACATGGGGACCTATGCGGAGCATGCCTCACGGGACATATTTCCAGCACGTCCGCACGACATGGAAGGAGTGAAGCATACGTAAGGACAGCGATGATCAAGATGAGGAAGGAGGCGAACATGTTTAGGAGCAGGTGGGAGAAGGGGACAGGCGGGACGGGTCGTGGAAGAATTTCAGGGAATGGTCGGAGGTGGGGTTCAAGACGGAAGGGAAGGAAGGGATGAGGGAAGAGGGAGGTAGAGAGAGGAAGGTGGGAGACAGAAGGACAACACTTACCTATAGAAGTGAGGGTATGATGACAGCAGGTGGAAGCATGTGGGCGAAGACTACGATGAGAAGGGTAAAGAGCACAGACGGCGTGATGGGGCGCCGCTCACGGATAGGGTCGCGAGAATGAGCAGGACGAGGAGGGGGGAGGTGATCGACCTAGTTTGGACAGGTCTGTGGTGACTTGTTCCAGCTGCTGGCGCTTCCGCAAGCGATCCAATTCAAGATCGGCATTGAAGCGCTACGCAGCAAAGTCACCGTCGCCGGTTCTCCCTCTTTTCGGCTACCCGGTCGTTTGAGCCAGGCGGCCGGGAGGCAGGAAGCCTCAGCCAAGCCAGGCCAGGAGGGAGCCCCCCCCCCAGGTGTGGCCAGGGAGCTCCCTCGAGGGGAGGCCCTCCTCCCTCCTCCCTCCTTCGTCCCTCCCTCCTCTCCGCTCTCCCTCCCTCCCTCCATGCTCCCTCCTGTGCCCTCCCTTCCTCCCTCCTCTCCCCTCCCTCGTCCCTCCGCTCCCCTCCCAGCCCAGCCCACGATCGCCCCCTCCCGTCTGGGCCTGGGCCCTCCGCTCGCGCGGCTGCCCGCTCGCGCGGGGGGGGGGGGGGGCCCGCCGGGGCTCCCCGCGACTCGAGCGCCGGCCATTCGGCTTCGCGCCTGCCACGGAGGTTCGTCGGCCGCCGCAGTCTTGGGGCGTCGCGCCGCGAGGGGCGATAATTGGAGGGGGGAGGGGGGCAGCGAGGGCCGCCGAAAAGGCGCCCTCCAGGGCCCCTGCAGATGAAAAGGGCCCTCTGGGGTCCAAAAGGAGGGGGGGCCTCGAGGCCCCGAAAGGTGCGCTATTCTCTGTCTTCTTCCCCCCCCCCCCTCCATGTTTCGCCCCCCCCCCCCCCACTCAGCGAAGCCCATGTAGTCAGGAGCAACGCTCCGAACTGGCCCACCCTGGGTCGGCGCCCTTTGTTTCCACGCCTCCAGAGATGGGCTGTGGTTCTCCAGGACCATGAAGAGAGAGCAAAAGGAGTCTCCAGCTCCGCAGTTCCGCGCCTGCCTCTTTGACATACTCTGTCGCGGTTGCGTTCCAGGACACAATGCGAGCAGCAGCAAACAACGATGGTTCAGTATCGCCCAGGAGAGCTCCAAGCGGAGCCCAGCAGTACTCCGAGAAAGTGTCCGATGACCCCCCAGATCGCACCAGGAGCGCCCCAAGAGGGCTCCAAGAGGGCCCGGGACGGTTTCAGAGCGGCCCGAGAGCGGGGATCGATGGGCGCAGCTCGCAAGATTGCAGTCTAAGACAGCCCCCCACGAGGCCCCACGAGGCCCCAAGATGGCCGGAACGTAGCCCCAGGTGGCCCAAGACAGCCCCTCGAAGAAGCCCCAGCGATCCCACGAAACTGCCGAGAGGTCCCCGGGAGGCCCCTCGCAGGCCGTAGCCGTTTGGGCCACAGCCCCTGCCGCGTCGGCACAAGAGCTCTCCCCGGCCCCTGCGGGCCCTGCCCACGTTCTCTCGGTCTTGGATCCTGGGCTCTCCTGCCCCGCCTGCCTCCCGCATGGCGGCCGCTCTCGCTCCCGTGGTGCGGCGGCTGCTGGCTGCGCTCGCGTGGTCGGCCGTGCGCGCCGAGGGCTGGCGGGCCGCTCCCGGCCCGGCCGCGGGCGGCAGGAGCGCCTTCCAGGGCCGCCTCTCGGAGGCCCTGCAGGAGGGCCTCCGGTGCGGCACCCTGGTGACGCTGCACCGCGCCCTGGAGGTCGAGGCGGCCCTGGTGACCCTGTGGGCGTCCCTCCCGAAGGGGCCGTCCGGCCGCGTCGGGCACCAGCTCCTGCGCTACGCGGTCCACCACTACTTCCGCCACGAGTACTCCGTCATGATCCGCGGCCTCGAGTCCGCCCGCCCAGTCAACCAGAGCCTGCTGGAGGCCGACGTCGTCCGGCGGCGGCTGCCCCCTCCGCTCAGGGACCTGCTGCGGTCGGAGGAGGCGCACCGCGAAGGCTTCGACCTGACGGACACGGTGCAGATCGTCCTGCTGGTCGAGCGGGCGATCGCCGACGACGACGCCTTCCAGCTGGAGATGGTGTACCACAGCCAAGGACGGCGCTGGGACCGCAAGCTGGGAGCGTGGCAGTTGAAGGAGGTCCTGGAGCACTACTTGCACGACTGGCTGTACCACACCAAGTACGGCCGACCGTTTTCCGCCGACCATGCCGCTGTCCTTCAGTTCATCCTCGGCCAGATATCACTGTTTGATTTCAACCGGCAGCGTCAGTGGAAGTCATTCGCGGCTCATTCGTATTCATTTGACGATGCCGCTGAAATTGTGGACAGCATGACGAAGTCGTTCGCATATTTCTGGGACGGCCATTGCAGCGATGTGCGGCAAGTGTTGACGACTCTGGACAGGCACAGTACGGGACGGGTGGACATTGCATCGTTCTACCTGGGTGGACTGCATGGCGGGGCGTCGGGATTGGTGGAGTCTGAGGACTACTTGCAGAAGCTCGGCGTGCTGGACGACTCCAAGGCTCACGGAAAGGACGTCATCATCCCGAACTACCTCGAGTCTGCACCGAATTGCGCCGCGGCCACCACGCTCTACCTTGTCTGTTGCCCGGACCACTGTGAGGACACCTACAAGGAGATCGAGGCGGCAGTGGCAGGACCCACCGGGACCCCAAGGCAGCTCTTGGAGATCGTGGGCAGCATGACGTCCCAGCTGGACCTGGAGCGGGAGGAGGAGCCGGACCACCTCGGGGGTACGCTCTCCACGCTGCTGAACATCATCGCGTCCAAGCACGGCGGAGTGGTCCCTCTGCACGGGCGGCTCTTTGCGCAGTGGCTGCACTACGCCTTCCCTCGCGAGTGCCCCTTCCCCCAGCGGAGCGGCGCCACGCCGATGCTGCTCCCCAGCGACCAGACTCTCCGCTGGAGGGCCGTGGCCAGCCACGAGGAGCGCCACCAGCGCGCGAGGGCGGTGGTCCTGGACCACAGCGTGCTCGACGACGACGACGACCTGCCGGAGACGGCGGTGCACCAGGTCGTCAACAGGAGCGACGCCGAGTGGATGCTTCTGTGGTCGTTCGAGGAGGAGCTGGCCGCCGAGGAGGTCGTCGGCGAGCGGGAGGAGGCGGGCGCGGGGGCGCCCGTGCTCGAGGCGAGGGGCGACGACTGCGTCGCCCTCTACGTGGAGCTCCTCTCGCGCGGCGCGCACACGGACCTGGAGGCGGTGGCCTCGGTGAGCTTCGCCACGGGGCTCAGCCGCAGCGCCGTGCGCGCGCGCCTCGCGGCGCACCTCGAGGGGGCGGCGCGCCGGAGCCCCGGCGACGCCGCGTTGCAGCGGGCCGCGGCCGCCCAGCTCCGGGCCTGGAGGCTCGCCGACGGAGCGCAGGAGAGCCCGCGGGCGCCGAGGCTGCCGTTTGGGCTCATGCTGGCCGTGGGCGTCTCCTGCGCGGCCATGCTCAGCTGGGCGTTCCGGCTGGCCAGCGCGCGTGCTCACGGCAAGCAGCCGCACGGCATCGGCAAGGCGGCCGGCCTGTGCGACCTCGACAAGCGCTCGGCGTTCGTCTGACCATAGCGCGCGCGCGGGGCGCGGCGGGCCGATCGGCCGCTCGCACTCCGCACGCAGCCGCCCGGCCTGTGCAGGCGGGCCACGGTGGCCCAGGCGCCACACCGATGGATCGCGTCGCGCATGGCCTTCCCTTCGCATGCAAGTAATTACCTGGCCACTCCTCTGCGGCGCCAAGACCACCTAGCTTGCGGCAGAGACTGTCCGATTGTATAATTCGCCGGGCTGGGAGAAAAGCAACTGTCACAGAGGGTCCCCGCGCATGCTCCAGGTTTGGGGGCACCGTGCATTGTGTATTGTTTTTGCTGGCAGGGGCGGCTGGCTTGCGCGCAACTTGCGCGCAACAGGTGTCAGAAGCCAATGGAGGTGGTGGATGGGGCTTCGCGCGTGCCCGAGAGTTGGAGGCAATGCGAACTCTGGTATTTTTCTGTTGACGGGGATGGTTGGCCTGCGCGCGTCGAGCAATATGCCGGCACCCCCGGGCGCCCGCCGCGTGGTCGCGGGGCGCCCGCGCGTGCTTCAGGTTTGGAGGCAAGGTGCGTCCTGTTTTGTTTGTTGACACGTGGCGGTCGGTTTGCGCGCAACCTGCGCGCAAGGAGCAGCATGCCGGCACGCCCGCCGCCCCTGTCAAAAACCAAATGCAGAGTGATCGCGGGGCGCCCGCGCATGTTCGAGATTTGGAGGCAGAGTGCATGTCGTATTGTTGTTGGACATGGACGGGGGGGGGCGGTGGCATATCCCAGGTTGGCCCACAGTCGGGTGGGGGAGGGGGCGTCCAGCAAGAAGGAGCAGTGATCCATTTCTCCCCCGAGCAGGGGAAGGAGGGGTTGTGGCAGAGATTTGAGAGCAATTCGTTAAACCATTCATCCTTGAGGGCTTGTTGGATTTTTGCCAGTTGTTTGGGCGTTCGCTGGCCTTGTTGGACCCTTGTTTTTGTCGGAGTCATGCTGGGCCGAAGTCCCCGAGAAGAAACCAACGACGTCCAAAAACGATGCTTGATTGGACACTTTCATTATCTTCGGCCACTGGTGCCTCTCTTGGAGCCTCTCGTGGTCCTTTCGGTTTGTTTTGGCATTTTGTGGTCCTTGCGAGGTCCCGTTGACAATAGTACCAAAGGTATCTTGGAACCGCGGTGGGCCGTTTCCGTGCCCTCTTCTTGGTGCCTTCTTGGGCCGTTTCCGAGAGCCCCATGGGGTTCGAACACTAATTGTGGCCGTTTCGCTCCTGTTTCGTGTCCTGTTTGGGTGTCGCGCAAGGAGGGGCGATAAATGAAGGGGGGGGGCAGCGGGGGCTGCAGAAAAGGGGCCATCTGCCCTTCCGGGCCCCTACAGGGCCTTCTAGGGTCAAAAAGGTGGCCTGTCGAGTCCGAAAATTGCGCCTTTCCTTCCCCACCCAATTTATCGCACCCCCACTCAGCGACGCCCATGCAGTCAGGAGCAACGCTCCGAACTGGCCCACCCTGGGTCGGCGCCCTTTGTTTCCACGCCTCCAGAGATGGGCTGTGGTTCTCCAGGACCATGAAGAGAGAGCAAAAGGAGTCTCCAGCTCCGCAGTTCCGCGCCTGCCTCTTTGACATACTCTGTCGCGGTTGCGTTCCAGGACACAATGCGAGCAGCAGCAAACAACGATGGTTCAGTATCGCCCAGGAGAGCTCCAAGCGGAGCCCAGCAGTACTCCGAGAAAGTGTCCGATGACCCCCCAGATCGCACCAGGAGCGCCCCAAGAGGGCTCCAAGAGGGCCCAGGACGGTTTCAGAGCGGCCCGAGAGCGGGGATCGATGGGCGCAGCTCGCAAGATTGCAGTCTAAGACAGCCCCCCACGAGGCCCCACGAGGCCCCAAGATGGCCGGAACGTAGCCCCAGGTGGCCCAAGACAGCCCCTCGAAGAAGCCCCAGCGATCCCACGAAACTGCCGAGAGGTCCCCGGGAGGCCCCTCGCAGGCCGTAGCCGTTTGGGCCACAGCCCCTGCCGCGTCGGCACAAGAGCTCTCCCCGGCCCCTGCGGGCCCTGCCCACGTTCTCTCGGTCTTGGATCCTGGGCTCTCCTGCCCCGCCTGCCTCCCGCATGGCGGCCGCTCTCGCTCCCGTGGTGCGGCGGCTGCTGGCTGCGCTCGCGTGGTCGGCCGTGCGCGCCGAGGGCTGGCGGGCCGCTCCCGGCCCGGCCGCGGGCGGCAGGAGCGCCTTCCAGGGCCGCCTCTCGGAGGCCCTGCAGGAGGGCCTCCGGTGCGGCACCCTGGTGACGCTGCACCGCGCCCTGGAGGTCGAGGCGGCCCTGGTGACCCTGTGGGCGTCCCTTCCGAAGGGGCCGTCCGGCCGCGTCGGGCACCAGCTCCTGCGCTACGCGGTCCACCACTACTTCCGCCACGAGTATTCCGTCATGATCCGCGGCCTCGAGTCCGCCCGCCCAGTCAACCAGAGCCTGCTGGAGGCCGACGTCGTCCGGCGGCGGCTGCCCCCTCCGCTCAGGGACCTGCTGCGGTCGGAGGAGGCGCACCGCGAAGGCTTCGACCTGACGGACACGGTGCAGATCGTCCTGCTGGTCGAGCGGGCGATCGCCGACGACGACGCCTTCCAGCTGGAGATGGTGTACCACAGCCAAGGACGGCGCTGGGACCGCAAGCTGGGAGCGTGGCAGTTGAAGGAGGTCCTGGAGCACTACTTGCACGACTGGCTGTACCACACCAAGTACGGCCGACCGTTTTCCGCCGACCATGCCGCTGTCCTTCAGTTCATCCTCGGCCAGATATCACTGTTTGATTTCAACCGGCAGCGTCAGTGGAAGTCATTCGCGGCTCATTCGTATTCATTTGACGATGCCGCTGAAATTGTGGACAGCATGACGAAGTCGTTCGCATATTTCTGGGACGGCCATTGCAGCGATGTGCGGCAAGTGTTGACGACTCTGGACAGGCACAGTACGGGACGGGTGGACATTGCATCGTTCTACCTGGGTGGACTGCATGGCGGGGCGTCGGGATTGGTGGAGTCTGAGGACTACTTGCAGAAGCTCGGCGTGCTGGACGACTCCAAGGCTCACGGAAAGGACGTCATCATCCCGAACTACCTCGAGTCTGCACCGAATTGCGCCGCGGCCACCACGCTCTACCTTGTCTGTTGCCCGGACCACTGTGAGGACACCTACAAGGAGATCGAGGCGGCAGTGGCAGGACCCACCGGGACCCCAAGGCAGCTCTTGGAGATCGCGGGCAGCATGACGTCCCAGCTGGACCTGGAGCGGGAGGAGGAGCCGGACCACCTCGGGGGTACGCTCTCCACGCTGCTGAACATCATCGCGTCCAAGCACGGCGGAGTGGTCCCTCTGCACGGGCGGCTCTTTGCGCAGTGGCTGCACTACGCCTTCCCTCGCGAGTGCCCCTTCCCCCAGCGGAGCGGCGCCACGCCGATGCTGCTCCCCAGCGACCAGACTCTCCGCTGGAGGGCCGTGGCCAGCCACGAGGAGCTTGGAAGCAACAGCGGCGAGGGCGTGTCCGGGTCACTTGGACAACAGCGTGCCATCGACGTACGACAGAACGACCTGCCGGAGGACGGGCGGTAGGCACCAGGTGCCTGTCAAACAGGAGCACGCCTCCCACAGTGGATGCTTCTGTATGTGTAGTGGAGGAAGGAGCTGGCCCGCCGAGGAGGTCGTCGGCCAGGAGCGTGAGGCTTGGGAGGGGGGAGGGCGGGCGCGCTGGTGTGCGCGCCCGTGCTCGAGAGCGAGGGGCGCGCGCCGGCGATGACCCTGCGTCCGCGCCTTGGCTACCGGTGGACGTTCCTCTCGCATGCGCGTTGCCGCTTCAGCACCACGGGACCTGGAAGGCCCGGTGGCCTCGCGTGAGCTTCGCAACGGGGCCCTCCAGCCGCAGCCGACGTTGCGCGCACGCGCCCTCGCGGCGCACCTCGAGAGGGAGCGGACGCGCCGGAGCACCCCGGCCCCGACGCCGCGGTCTAGCGAACGCGGGACCGCGGCCTTGTCCTTCGTCGCAGCTCCCGGGCCTGGCGGGCTCGCCGACGGAAGCGCAGGAGAGCCCGCGGGCGCCGAGGCGCCGGTTGGGAGCTGTAATTGCTGGACGCTGTGGGCCCCCACAGCTGTCTACCATGCGCGGCCTATGCTCAGCGCGGCGTTACGGCTGGCCAGTGCGCGACGTTTTTTTTTTGGCTCAAGGCAAGAGCTAGCCGACACGGCACAGCGGCAAGACGGCCCGGCTCGGCACGACTCGAAGCAAGCGCGCTCGCGCGTTCGTCATGACCATAGCGCGCGCGCGGGGCGCGGCCAGAGGCCGATCGGCCGACTCGCATCTCTGCACACGCAGCCGCCCGGGCCTTGTGCAGGCGGGCCACGCTGGGTGTTTAGGCCCAGGCGCCACACCGATGGATCGCGTCGTCGCGCTATGGCCTTCCTTCGCATGCAAGTACTCCTTAGGCCACTACCTCACTGTGGGTGTGGGGTTGGCCAGACCAAGTCCACCTAGCTTGCGGCAGAGACGGTCCGATTGTATAATTCGCTGGGCTGGGAGAAAAGCAACTGTCACGGAGGCACCCAGTAGTCCCCCAAATGCCTCGACAGCTTGCGAAGGGGTTCAGCATAGCATGAACGTCTGTACATCTCCCATGATGAGTGGATTTTAGCTCTTTTTGATTGGACGGCGATGGTGAAACTTGCGTTGGGACGTTTCCTTTGAGTACTGCGCTCAATCTAGCCAGCGACTGCTCCTCCTCCACGCGAGCTTTACACGGCTCTTTCGGAAACGACCACCACCAAACAGGTTCCCAATCGTCACAAGCACACAGGCACATGGCATTTCTAGGCGTCCTGGATGGGGTCGGAGTAGATGGGGTCGGAGGATCGCGCCGCATCGACGATGCATCACCGATGCATCGGCGATGCATCAACGATGCGGCTTGATGTGGGGCACAGTTTTCTCCACGCCGACGTCGCCGTTGCATCGCCGACGTCGCAAATGCATGGCGGATGCATCGGCGATGCGGCGAGCTCCTCAGACCCCAGCTACTCGGGCCACATCTAGGAGGCCTCAAGCATTGGTGATGCGATATGGGCCGGCGGACTGCGCGAAGCGGACCGCCGGCCCATTGGGGCGCGACGCGTGGCGTGTAGGATCCCCGCCGCATGTTCTGCCTGAGCAGCAGTTCCTGCAACACTCTCACCGCCATATTCCTAGTCCAGGTCCGTGCATCAAGGACATCCCTGCAGTCCCTCCTGAGGACCTCACCGCGGCCGCACATTCCGCCACCCCCATGTGCTCTGGCTGCGGACTGAGTGCCCGCGGGCTTGCCGGACTCTTCTTGAGCGCCAACTTGGGACCCCTACAGAGCCTTCTGGGGCTGTCTTGGTGGCTTCTGTTGGCACTCTTGGGCAATTCTTGACGCTTCGCGTATCCCCACCAGCATGTCGCGCCAATTATCTGTCGCTGTGCCCCAGCCTCGGTCACTCCGCCCTCTGGACTTCTCCTTGCGGGCCGCGAATCAAAAAAAATATCCCCACCAGCTTTGAGTGGGCCGGCCGGCTCGCGGCGCGTTTAGCTGTTAGTTCGGCCGCTGTCGTGACCCGAAGCGCTCCTGACTCCGCTAGCGCCTTCGCTAGCGGACGCGACAGAAAAAAAATATCCCCACCAACCCATCCAGACACAATCGCCAGGTGAGTTGCCTTGATGGGGGCATCGTCGAAGCATGCAGTGCGACAGCCGCCTTGGATTCCTTTCGGGGGTGCGGGGAATGCGGAAACATTTGTTGTATGAGTCGCCGGAAGGTGGGAACAAGAGGAGGAGGAGGGGGGTGGAGGGGAATGGAGGTTGCATGCGGCCCTGGATGTGTCACTCGTTGTTAATGTGTTTGCGACCACGTTGAGAAAAACATCGTAACACAGTGCCCTGGATAAGAGTAGGAGGAGGAGGAGGAAGAGGAGGAGGACCAGTGTAAACCCAAGAGTCATTAACGATGCTGGAATTAACCCTCACTCCAAGTTCCCTCTTCACATGCCCCATACAATGGTTCAGTTCCATTGGGGGAACTGAAGACCTTGAAGCATGCCAAAACATTGTTCTCGTGATTCCCACACCACAGATCAACCTGGCTGCTGCGTCCTGACGATCTGGAATCGTGCCAGAACGCAATGTTTGGGGAATCTACCGAGAATCAAAATGTCTGTTGCACCCGGATAGTCCTGACTTCTTCCAAAACACCATTGTAGTGGCCTTCGGCCAGTGCCGCCGATCCGGGTCGCTTGGGATGCCTCCCAGACTCGGCGGCGACATTTCGCCGACGGACACGCACGCACACGCTCGCAGACATTATGTGCACACACGAACACACACACACACACACACACACACACACACACACGCACACACGCACACACACACACACATTCACACGACACCCACCCACAGACACACACAACACTCACACACGCGCGCCACCTTCGCAGGCACATGCGCACGCACAAGCCAGCACCACACACACCAAGCACACCGCACAAACACACACACACACACCACACACCACACACCACACAACAGACACGCATGTCACCGCCACCTTCGTCTTCCCCCCGTTTGTTCCCCGTTTTCCGCTCTCGTCCCGTTCCACTTCTCTCTAGCTCTTTCCCCGATGCCCTTTTCGCGTACACGGACAAACATCACCCCGCGCACGCGCGCGCGCCCCCCCCCCCCCTCTTTTCCCGGCAGGGCCACCGCAGCACCCCCCCCAAAAGACTGAAGTTCAGCTTCGAGGCGTGAGCTCGAAGGGGCCTCAGCTAAGCTGAGGCTCCTTCGAACTCACGCACCACGGACCCCCCCTTCCCGTCCCCCGAGCCATCGTGGAACCCACGCCACCGGAACTTTTCCCCCCCCTCTTCCCCCACTTCCCCCTGTCCACAAGCGGGGCGAGGGACCGGACCGCACCCCCACGCCACCGGAACCCACGCCGCCGGACCCCTCCCGATCCCCCTACCCCGGCAGGGCCACCTCGGCCACCAGACCCCCCCCCCCTCTTCCCCCAATTCATCCTGTCCACAGGCGGGACGGGGGACCAGACCCTTCCCCCCCCGAGCCACTGGAACCCACGCGACCGGACCCCCACCCCCCTTCCCCTCCCCCTACCCACCCCGGCAGAGCCACCCTAGTCACCCCCTTTCCCTGAAACTCACACGCCGGTTCGGCGGATTTTTGGTAGGTTGATCATGGGAATCCGTGAAACTTGCAAAGTTTTATAACGAGTGTGCGCGGCGTTCCAGCGAGAGCCACATCTTGAAAAGGAGCCGCCCTCAATCCGTCAAGGTGTTGCAATTTGTTAACCAAACGTGCGCGGCGCTAAGGCGATAACCACAGTTTGAAAACCACCCGTCCTTAATCCGTGAAGCTCTTTCACATGTTTAAACCGAGCGTGCGGGGCGCTAGGGCGAGAGCTACATGTTGAAAACCACCCACCCTCAACCCGTGACGCTCTTCCAAATGTCTAAAACGCATGCGCGCGGCTCTGAGGCGAGTGCCACATTTTGAAAACGACCCGCCCTACATCCGTGAAACTCTTGCATATGTTTAAAACGAATGTACGCGGCGCTAAGGCGCTAAGGCGCTAACCCGCCCTTTCTCTGTGAAGTGTTTGTCATGTTTTATCTTTCGGTGTCGTAGGTGATGAGGAAGTGTCAGGCGAAACGCCCGCCCTGCCCTAAAAACTGGCCTCGGGGTGTGACAGGGAGAAATTATGTATAAGGAAAAGGAATGGAGGAGGAGGAGGAGGAAAGGGATGAGGAGGAGGAGGCGGCGGAGGAGGAGGAGGGGGAGAGGTTTTGGTGATCCTGGGGGCCTATTGGAGCGTCTTCGATGCCTCGGAGGAGCCTCTTGGCGCGTCTTTGGTCTCTCGTGGGGCTTTCGCGGGCGCTTCCCTGGTGATTATGGGAGCCTTCCTGTTGGTGTTGGGCGACCCTTTGGGCTCTCTTGGGGCCGTCTCGGAGGAGATCGATCAAAGAAGGGGTCGTCAGAAATTCCCCTTCCCCCCATCGGAGGCTCCAAGATGGTCTCGAGGGGCCCTCTTGGGCCGCTCTTGGGCGTCTCTTAGGCGCTCTTGGGGCCGTCTTGGGGCTCTCTTGGGCCATCTTGGGCCCCAAGAGGCTCATCGGAAACGAAACAACGAGAAGGCCAAAAACCTTGATTTCCCGAAGGTGTTTGAAGTAGTTTGGCCTTTTTGGGGGGCCTTGGGAGGCTCGAGGGGCACTCAAGAACCCTCTTGGGGCTGTCCTGAGCCGTCTTGGAGGCTTGTCGGATGCTATCTTGGGCGATGTTGGGCAAGCCGTCTCGTTCACTCGCACCCGCCCTCCCAACACATGAGTGGTACCCGAGTTTCAGCACATCGCCGAGGAGCGCCACGCATGCCGTG